TATAAAAATAAATGGTTCCGCCGGGTGGTCCTATTTTATTTGTTTCTGTTATCCCTTGGTTATAACCAAAAAAAAAAAAAAGAATCATCGGTTATTATCATCGAGAAAATGATTCGGACACCAACCGTGTATGTTGATGATGATGATGATGATGATGATGGTCATCAACATGACTGAACATATCATATATTGACAATCATTATCATCATAAATGATGATAGACTCTATGTGAATATAATCCAATATCGGTACAATTCGAAAAAAAAAGAAAAGAAAGAATTTTTTTTGTTGTTTTTGATCAATTCTTTAAGATATTCAATGTGTGAACTTTTTCTCATATTATTTTCTTCAAACTTGGAACTATGATTTAATGGATTCAAATGATGACGACCGATCACTTGGTGGTCGTCTTATATATTTGCTATGTTCTTTTTTGTTGTTGTTATAAATGGCACCGATTAAGGCGTTCGAAAAAAAAAATTCTTTCAAACTTTTTTTTGTTTCGAACCAAAAAAAATGTGTTCCATAATAGTGGACAAGTCCAAATAGGACAATCCATAAATTGTGTAACTGTCAGAGAGAGAGAGAGAGAGAGAGAGAGGGTGCAGTAAGAATGAGAACAAAAAAAAATTTAAAATTGACGTAAGCATGCGTATCTTTTTTTTTACGTTCATCGTACGACGAACTTTGATGTTAACTTTGTAGTAGCAGTTGGTTACAATTGGATCGTTGGTGTTTGATCATTTTATGTTTTGAGGAATGACCTTCTTCGATACATTATACCGCTATTACAATCATCGGGCAATCACACCACCATCATGGAACCGCGCCTTTTCTTCGCGCTCATTTCCCATTTTAAAAAAAAAAATTTTTCATTCATCCATACTGATATTATCCATAATACCGCCAATCATTTATGCTACTACTATTCTACCATCACTACATTTGATTGACCATCGATGTCGATGATTCTCTCTTTCTTTTCTTTTATATTTTGCCATGGTATGCCAGTTGATAGAATTTTTGCGTGTAAAATTATCATTCATCTTAGCTGAGATGGCTTGCAAACAAATAACTATCATACATACAAAGTATGGCTAAAAAAAATTTTCTTTGTTCATTTGCGTATGGCATGCGTGCTACTTTGCTGCTTATTCGCTAAATAATCTTCAAGCTTCATCATCAATAATAATAAACTTACCTATGGTAACAGACAAACATGCTACTATGTTTCGAGCGTGATTTAGCCACAATCTCGCTATATTGCTTCATATTGGCTATAGATTCTAACTGAGGATTTTAACTGAGCATGAATTTATATAAGGGGAAACAGACAAAAAAAGGTTGTCCCCCGTAAAAAAACAATCCAAAACTGAAATCATTATCATCAACCACTACTATGGAAATATTTCTGAAACACCACATAACATAAGATTGAAGGCGAAACCAAACCAAGTTTGACTCATTTTTTGTTACATTGCAATGATAATAATAATAATAAAACGGCGTCTCAACTCAACTCGATTTATGACTAACCAACACACTTGATGGCGGCGTCGAATATCATGATGATCATCACAAACACACACACACGACGACGGCAACTAAGACGACGAATTTCCGACTGAAAAAGAAAAAATTCTAAACTTTTTTTTCCAGTTATTTTTTCCTTTATAATATTTCGTCCACGCCATCATATTATTTTTTTTGGGGGGATTCTTTGAAAAGTTGCTTGTCATCAAATCAAATGGGTGTGTTAAATGTTGAATTTGGAATTTTAAGAATAACAACAACAACAAAAAAATCCCAATGAATGAATGAAGAATGAATCAATTACTTAATTGTGTTTGATTTATGTGTGTGTTTCATTCTTGTGTTCGGATGTCACTTGATTTAATCTTTTTTTTTGTTGCAAATTTTTGTCATCATCATGATCAGAATAAATATCTCCTGTCCATAGCAACCTGAGAAAAACTAACTAAAACAATAAGACGTTTTGGTTATTGGTGTTGTTGGCGGTGGTGACCTAGGCCAACGATATTTTTTTTGTTTTGTTCTGTGTTTTTGTGTGTGTTTTATTCAGTGCCAAAATCAATCAATTTTTCAGTGTTTAGTGTTTTATATTCTGTGTTTGTGTTGTGATTTTTTTCTCTCTCAATCATTATCTTCAAATTTATCATCGATTTTATTTAAATTAATTTCGTCCAAAATTAAGGTAAGTTTTGTGAATTGAATGATAATTGTGTTGTTGTCGATCAATCCACCACGACCATCAAAAAAAAGGATTGATTTCAATCAAAAAAAGATATTGCTTGTTTTGATTTTTTCAAAACAACAAAAACAAAACAAAAAAAAATCTCTAAATGTTTTGATGTAAATCAAAAAACATACATTGTTTTGTTTTGTTTTGAATAATTTCCTCTTGTTTTTTTTTTGTTATTTTATCATGACCGTTTTTCAATGATTACAATCATCATCAGGAATATCTAATCATATGGATGTGGTTGTTGTTGTTGTTGTTGTTTGTTTGTTTCATTTCCGTTTGATTGACATCATTTTTTGTTTTTTGATCGAATTTCTTCTAGTGAAAATTGTTGTCTTTTATTTATTTATTTATTTTTGATTGTGTTTTGTTTTGTTTTGTTTGTCTTCAAGAGACAGAGATTGGTTAGATTTGATTAGATTTTGAGATTTTTATGATGATAATGATGATTGTATGATAAATAGAATAGATGCTAATGATGACTTTTCTTTCTTTTTTTTCCTAAATGAGAAACAAAACAAACAAAAATTTTATCGTTCGTTTTTCAATCGCTATCCAAAAAAAACAGGTAGAACAAATCTATGATAGAAGAAAAAAAAATTTCCATGAAATTCTTTACCTTTTTTTCAATAGCAACAACAAAAAAAACTGATGATGCAATTTGTTTAATTCATCATAATCATCATCAATGATTTTTTCTTTTACTTTTTTTTTCGCAAAACAGCTTGATCATCATAATTCAATGTGATGGTGATGTGAATGAAATTTTAAACAATTTATGTAAACAAAAAACAAACAAACAAACATTGTAGTTGTTTTTTTTTGTTTCCAGGTCGATCCAGGATGATCGAAACCTGACGAAAAGCTACTTTCTTTTTCGTTTCATTTCATTGGTTTTTTTAAAGTTCAATCCATTTCCATTAACAACAACAGAAATATGAAATTTATCTATAAAAATGAATTGGGATTTAATCTAAACACAATGATGATGATCATCATTCATTTTATTCAATTTAATCAATCAATCATTTGTTTGGTGGCCGAAATAAACTACTGAATTTTTTTCATTTTTAAAATTTTTAAACTTAATGACTTGAAAATTGAAAAAAAAATAATCACCGAAAACATTCTTTGACCTTGTCATCATTATCATCATCATCATCATCATCCATAATCATTGTGTAAATGAAAGAAATTTGTCCTGAAAAAAAACTCGGTTATTTTTCAAAGTTATATATCAGTATTTCAAAATGTCATTTTTATGATGACCGAATCATCATCCATTTTATTTATCCAGAAACGTTATTATTTTTTTCATATATTCAAATTTTTATATAAATGTAATATTGAAACTGTCAATCAAAAAAGAAAAATGTTGATGATGTACAATGGATGAATGGAAAAAGAAATCATCTTCAAACAGTATCAGATTTTTTTCTTCTTCTTCTTCTACATTCGATAATCGATGATCGATGTTTTGAAAAATTATTTCCTTCTCTTCCCTTTTTTTTCTTTCTCTCCCTTTCTTTGATGATGCTTGACATATCTTTTTGTTGTTGTTGTTGTCGATGATTGACGAAAAAAAAATGGGATAAGATTTTGTGTTTTCCTTAGACCTAAAAAACACGTTTTCAATGATTATGATGATTGTCGAATCTTTGACAATATTTTAATCAAATTTTGTTGTGAATGTGAAATTTTGATTTGCATGAATGAAATACAAACGATTATGGTGTGTGACACACATGTCCTTCAAATATGAAATAAAAAATTTATGAAATTTTTTCCGGAAATTTCATTTGGAATTAATTTTTTTGTTGGTTATCGACTTCGAAAAAAAAATTGTCTATATGATGGTGATTGATTGATTGATTGATTGAATTAGCTATCCGATTACATCAATATCATTGGGCCACACAACTTGTATTTGTAGATGCTTTTGTTGATAATTGATGCGCAAGCTTCTTGTGTTGTACTTT